CCAACGTTAAAAGAGGCTCTCCTGTAATGAAAACGGGCATCAGGTTCTCCAATTCTCAAAAAACCCTGAATAAGATCAAGGGAGAAGGTCGTCGAACCCCACCCAAGTCTTTCACAAGACCTGTGAATTCAGAATGACGGAGTAGAAGTTAAAGCGAGGGTTGGACACGGGAATATGAACGCCGTCGTCTTAGAGGTGGCCTTGCCCCAAAATTCCGGGATGGGGAGGGTCAGAGTTAGCGTTTGCAATATGCGGATTAGGATTAGGGTTATGGTTAGAATTATGAGGGTAAGGGTTGGCTTTGTGAGGGCTAGTGACAGGGTTAGATTAAGTGCTAAAGTCAAAATTGGCAGACGGGAATCGGAACTCCCAGGGATCAAGCGCGGGGTAGGAAATTGTGGTTTCCGACCGAAAGGAGTAATAGCGCCTATTAAAAAGTGCACGAAAGCATTCCTTCGGAATTCACACATCAGAAAAGACCCGGAAAGCAGGCAAACCAACTGTTAAGCATTTGGTGGATACCAGTGCTTGCGCCAGTTTCGATAAAGAAGTCAACTATTTAACAACGACAATGCCTGATAGTCACGGTGGACAGTTGTGGCGTCAAATAAGGTTGTCGATGTACCCGTAGCAGTAGTAAGTGGTATGTCGCATCCACTTAAGAGACAACGTATTGAGGCAGTTTTGTTTAGAATATGGAATACAACTGACTATCCGGAAGACAGGAAAAGTGAGCGGACGCTAGTAAGCAAAAAGAATATTGCAGAGCGACCAGAAAAAACACAACACACTGACAGCCGACAAGAAGCTCCGTTCCTCAAAGTCTCTTTTCAAGGGGGCGCTGAGAACAAAACTCCCAAGAAGAGGTCCTGGTCAACCTGTCTCACAAACCTTCCCAGCAGCAAAGGTTCGAATATTATTCTCTACCAACTCTACTTTGCGCGGAGAAGGTAAGGATAAGTTGCCACCTCAGACTACCTCAATGTGCATTTACCTTTTCAGCTGATCCTGTGGAGCAGGTTATATTGGTCGAACGAGTCGACGCCTATCAAAAAGAATACGAAAAAACCTCCCGAAATGGCTGGGAAAAGGCGACATTAGGAGCATAAACAGCGCCATCCTCGCGCATGTTGTCGATTCCGGATATCAAGTGGACCTCAACGAAGCTTTTCATGTGATTCGCAACGTCTCATCTCACTATCTTAAGCTACTGGGCCAGGGTCTGTTAGCAGCACCAGAAGCGGCCACTACCAGGTTACGAAAACTGACCCTATGCGCCCAGAAGAAACCCGTTCAGGCTGCGCACCTACCGTGGTCAAAGGTCGACTATCTGAATGCAACTCTCCACGCCCTTCCGTCCCCATCGCCCTGGCGTTGACTCTCCCCATATTCTCACACCCCCCCCCTGTGTTTTAAAACGACCTCTAATTGGTTTCTCTAATTACTGACATGCTTTACTCGATACGGTTCCCATATATATGCTTTGACCTGGCGAGAATTTATTAAAAACCAACTAGTCTTCTGAGCAAAGAGATCATTTTGACGGTTAATCAAGTAAAAGCGACATGTTCAGGAGTTTGTTTCGATTAACAAAAGTCCGATAGAGGGAGGAGACAATACACTTTCTGATGGTCACATCAGCAACGCGGAAACGCACGCCCGGCTAGAGTGCAGACTAAAAGTCCACCCTGGCTCAGCCAATAGTGAAAATTACCTTTGAGGCGTGACGTTGGCATTGGCGGAGTCAGGGCGTAGTGTGCGTTTACGCGTTGCCAATAACGACACCCAGAGTGACAACTCTGAGGCAAGAGTACCCAAAAAGTCAGAACTGGTTAGGAAAAGACCACAGGACCTTGGAGGAGCGAACAAGCAAGGTGAGTGAAGGCCAATCTTAAATGTCATAACACCAGCCCAGACTGAGCCAACCTATAAACAGTTCCCTCCCTCTTCGCCACCCTTTTAAATAGGTTAACAGTCACTGAGAAGAAGAGAGCTGGACAAGGCGAGTACGACCAAGAGACAGCAGCGTACAGAAGGGAGACAGCAGGAACAGGGGAGTTTTCCTTCGCCCACCGAATCGCCCGCCAAGATAACAAACTCGGTGAGTATGATCCCACTTCTTTAATACACATGCATTTTTTGGACGTGTCGTGGTATGTACCAGGGAGACAACGCTGGGCAGACTAAATTGTTTTCAAGCTGCATCTCTGGCCAGGAGAAGGCATCCCTCGGGGTTGATGGCTGTCAACTTGAAGAAGTGGACAGTTTTAAATATCTCGGGGCGAGACTGCTGCCAAATGGATAGAGTAAGGACGACGTTGTCTCCCAAATCAATGCTGCCCGCTGGGTTTTCTCATGCCTTCTAAAACGCCTATGGATCCGACGCGACCTCTCCACCGTCACTAAGAATCGCATGTACCATGAATCCGCCCGGTCTGTTCTTCTCTATGGTTATAAATGCTGGACTGTGCGCATTGAGGACGAGCGAAAACTAGGGGTATTTGACCACCACTGCTTGAGGACCATCCTTCGACTGAAGTTCACCGACTTCGTCTCAAATGAGACAGTCTGCGATCGGTGCGACATCGCAAAGGTAACCTAGGCCATTCAAGAAAGACGACTGAGGTGGTTTGAGCATGTTCTTCGTCGTTCACCTCAGGAGCTCAGTGTTACTGCCCTCGATCCGGCATTGTTACCCCACTGGAGGCGTCGAAGAGGGGGTCACCTCAAAGCCTTGCTCAACACAGTTCGTCAAGACATGGAGGTGGTTCTTGAATCTTCGGTACTTTGTCTCCGTTGTTGGCGAAAAGAATGGGTTGAACAGTCCAGAGCTGCTGCCGCGGATCGTCACGCATGGAGAGATACAGTTCGGGACATCATCGAGGTCGGCTGGATCAGGCATGATCGCAGCCGTACCAAGTACAAGGCAAACGCCAAATGAGGTGCTGCAAGGGAGTTGTAAACAGCAGCGCTTAGTCTGGAGACAAATTCCGAGTTAATTAATGGGCAGAAGGGTGGCCGCTGTTAGGCAAGAATCAGTCCCCCGTAGACACACACCTCCGAGTGCAAGATCGGTGGTCGATCGTTCAACTTCGAATGACAGCCCCATGAGCTCACTAGTTCGGCTTAACAGTCGATGGGATATATATGCTGTATTAGCTAGTCACACAGGTAGTTTCCACATACACATTGTTGAGGCGGTTAGGAGTTGCATCTGCAGCGTCAAGTTCTGTTTTTAGAAAACTGACAAGGACTGGGGAGAAATGGTTACCACACCAATAGGCGCAATACGTTTCTGAGCCTTTAATTAGTAGTCACGTTGTGCGCACAGACGAACTGCCACTTTCAGGACCCGCACCGACAACACTCAAAGGCGTAAAAGATCCCTCTGGACTGCACACACAAGCTGTCTCGTAGAAGTCTTTGGAGATGTTTAAAAAGTTACTTTCGGAGACCGCGGAAATGTCTCCCATGCACATGAACAGACGAACGAAGTCGTTCTGCGGAAAATGCGCTGCCTGCTGTATGGAAATTGTCAGGACAGGTGAAGACACACTTTGGGTCGCATAATACGTGACTGGGCACACCCCTCAAAAGATGAGATACTTCCTTCGCTCAAACATAAAATTTACATAATATATAATTTCCCAAGAGATGTACAAAGGAAAGGGGAATGCGACTATCGTAGGAAGTACTACTTAATTTACAAAAGCATCGAAAATCAGCGGCAACGTGAGCTCTAATTAATTACCAAGGTTTTATCCGCATGTGGTTTGTCCAGACAGTCAAACGTCAACGTGCTACCCTATGTGAAGCACCCTGAGCATGTTCAATATCAATAAACACTATAAGCATATTTTAGGGTTAGGGGATACCATTGCAGCACAGGTATTAGCTAAAAGCCCATACACGCGTGGTTCGCCGGCATGTTGCTGCTGCATGGCACAGCTGCGGGGGTGCGGCTCATCAGTAGGTCCCCCGGCGTTCCCCATGTGCTTCCTGGCAGACACTCCAGTTTCGAAATTGCTGCTTTTTATTGTCCTCAGTTTGACTGCAAATGTCAAGAGACAGCATCACACCGGACAGCCGTCTTTCTGATTTTAAGAGGATCCTCGCAGAATAATCCTTCGTGTACAGAGTGCCAATTGGCAATCAGTAGTATATATATATATATATATATATATATATATATATATTTCTGAGGAAATTAAAAAGCAACTATAACCACATTTGGAAGATTCTTTTTGATCGAAAGCACGCTTGAAGACTTTAAAGAATACTTCAGACACTTCGGTCAGTATAGCACGTCACAGCTCTGTTAAATGTCATAAATGTGCCCCTAAAACGGGTCACGCGGTAGATGTATTGGACCAACACGGGGGTCACATCGGATTCTGGCAGTTGTTATCAAGAATGCGCACCCAAAACAAATGCCAACATTCGGGATGCGGTGACAGGCTCAGTTGCAAGCTCATGCCTCGCGAATTGGGATCCATGCTACTCTCCTACTTTATTTTGTATAAAATCCTCGTCAAGTGTTTGTTATGCATCAGGCACTGTGGTAGAACGTCTAGGCGAGGTGTTCCGCCGTGCCAGCCACCTGTGCCCTCTCTCACTTTCGGTCCTCTGGACTTGGCTATGACACCGGAGCCAGGTAAGGAGCGAGAGAGTGCGGTAGATGCTGTGCAAGCCCACGTTCACTACAAACTAATCCACGAACAAGTCGCCGTCTCTGTCCTCACCCTGCTGTGGAGCACACAGTGGACATCGTCTAAACCGACAGTCGAACTGTCGTTGTCGTAATTATTAGCTTTACATGAGGGCATGGCAGTGGGTCGAAAAACTGAAGTTTCTAATCTATTAGATACCCAAAAAGGAGGAGACACGAAATTAAATGATGAGAGACCCAGAGAGAGAGAGACATGAAAAGTACTGCCATCGACAAGCTTCCAAGACAGGCTGGTGCTTAACGATGACGTCTCCCTTGCAGACATTTCCAAATGCCACCCGGACGAGCAGAGGGTGGGGACAAAGGGCTGTGCATAGAGGACTTCAGATCCCCAGCCTACCTCACCAGTCCGACGACGCTGAAAAAGTTGCGCATGGACGCCGAGTTAGAAGCCCTGATGGCAAGACAAGTAGTCGCCTCCACAGCTGGTACTCGCAAGAGTGCTAAATCAGCACATGAAGAAGTCGGTTGGTTGAGTAGAGCGAGACAAAACAGATACCCGGCTCAACTCCTGCCCCAGAGAGTAAAGGAACCAAAGGAGGCCGTTGGAGACTACGACCCCAATCGATTGGTGACCATTGTGCGCCAGGGACTGCGTTCAACTGGAGGCATGGACTGGCGGCATTACGTGCGGGGCGAGGCCTCGGAGGTGCCTGGTAAGTTGCTTCCCAATTGCACCTGTACTGACGGTAAGCCATTGTTTCCGGGATCGTAAACCGATATGATCCACACTTTGTAATCAACGGGTGGGTCAGCACAATTGGAAGAGTTTTACGGCTTGATTGTCCAGTGACAAAGACTTCCAGGATAAGGTTAACTTTTAGACTTGGCTCGATCAGACAGAATATTTAGTATAGCTTCTGCTCACCATGACAGTTACGCCGATGTCAGATCAGATTTATGAAGGGAAAAGTAGGCGAGCGCCTTTGAACTCCCTTTTGGTTACAATAACGTCATAAAAAAACAATGTGTAAGGCAAGTGTGAAAAAAATTAGGTAAGTAATTACATACAACAAACATTGGTCACTGGTATGAATTTGTCTGTGAATGCCTTCTATGTCAAAATTGTACAATATCCAGTACGGTACTGAATGGACCAAGTACTATCAAAGCAAGCGCATATGTGGCGGTCAGGAGATAGCGAAAATTGTAAAACGTAATGTTACTAAAATATAGGGAGTAGCATGCTTTGTAACATAAAACGTTGGATGGGGCGGGTGGCACATGGGGGAATTCGTTAGTTTCTGATGCTGTGGAGGTACATATCCCTGTGCTGGTCAAGCGTTGGGAAAGATGGCATACCTGAAGAATTCGGCCGTGGATTTAAAGGGGTTATGTGGCTGCATTTTGCCGTACCAGTAGGGGGAATCCTCGCTCAACAGCGAAATTCAACAGAGGAGGCCAATAAGCTTTCCGGCAGTACTAGATGTTTGAATTCCATAATAGTTGTGGGTCCACAACCAGCGGACAGATGTGACGACCCGTGAACAGACTATTACAGCAGGCAAGGTAGTTCAACTAGCTTATAACTACCCTTCCCGCTCTTCTGAAATAACCTATCCAGACCACTTACAAAACGGGCGGTTTACGGTCTCGCCATGTGCCCACTGCCGCATTCTGCTTGGGTTTCTTCACACTGAATTACTTCCAAGTAGGCGTACAAAAAGACGACGTACCGGACCAGCGTTCGCTCCGCCTTTCTGCTGATCCGGCGTGTGGGTTGAGTCATGCACTCTTCATCCAACCTCAGATTGTTGTTTCATGAGGTCAGGGTTTGCTGGAGCAAAAGTAATATCTGCATACCTAAGTGCGTGAAAACATCGGCCTCACCCCCTCCCCCCTGTTCCCCCATCTACACACCGGTGAGGCTGTCCGACAAATTCCACCGACAGCTGACGAGGTTGAGCGCAAATATTTGGCTTCGACAATGTGTGCGTCAAGCCAATAGGTAAGAACTTGCGCAAAGTTACCACGGCTGGATCAACGCAAACCACGAGCCAATGTTGGGCTCTTTTTGGTTCAACACGGCAGGTATGATTAGTATGGGGTGGGGGGTGAGGAGAGGGTATCTATGAGACAGACCAACCAGGAATAAAACGGCTCACTAATTTTTGCAGGAATCTGACTAGTACTGGTGGAGAGCTGTCATTTGACAATGTCCGGTGCGATGGTGGACGATGAGGAGGTTCACAGAGACCACAGGTCAGGGAAGCGGAATTTTCGGAAAGAGATTGTGTCCGAGTGCACAATCAGGTAGGGAGCGGATGCAAGGAGGTCCCTGGTTGTACATCAAGAGGCCGCAAGCTCCAGCTGGAAGCCATGAAATGGAGGCCACCCTGTAGTCGGCAGGAGTTACCGTGAAGAGGGAACCATTGCAGCCTCACCCTTACCCCTACCCCCGAAGGGAGGGGAGACAGTTATCCAGTCAGTCAGCAAACTTCCCAGTCATCACAGGCATTGGCCCGTCTCGCAGCCTAGATAATTTCCCAGTGCCAGTTTGGCGTCAAACTAACTAACAACAACGTAGTTCGTTGTGGAGGACAACAAGTTAACCTACTTACACCTAACATTATGGCCACTGACGTCAATGACGCCGTCGGAACAGCCACCACACTAAACAAGAACAGAACAACCCGGACTGACATAAAAACAACACAGTGACACAAATATAAGCAAGCCAAATACGACGACGATGACGACAACCACTATTATTACCATCACCAGTCTCATCTAACTACGGTCATAGACCTCGAAGGGCACTGGTTCCAACTGGTTGTGAGTCATGAATGAATATGCATTAATTACCCCAAGTAAAATGACTCTAGCCTGCTTAAAGTCCCCCCCCCTCCACACTGTCCTATGTTTTTTCTGATAAACCACTCCAGTCACCAGCTGGGATGGCGTTTCGGTGACTAATCGACTTATTTGCTGCCGCCTCATCGAGGAATCCTGGGAGATGCCAGATGTGGACGATGGCGCAAGCACGACAAACAGAGATGCCACAGCGTTAACAAGGCGGGAGGGAAGCGTCCTACAGAAGACAACGATTGAGGATGGAGGGAAGAAGTCAGCCGCGACAGAAACAGCACTACCATCATCAGTCAACAGCAGTAGAAGTACGGTTTGTTTGAAATTTACGCATAACCCCATTGGCTTATATCAGAGCTTCCAAATAAATGTGAGATATTGAAAGTGCTCTAGGAAAAACACGCCTAGTTTATTTTGGGTTTAGGAGCTAGAAGTTAGACGCGGTCTTTGGCGGCTTTTACGGTAGTGTGATGAAACTACGAGAGATACTGTACTTAATTTCATTTAACAATTTCGGAGTAAATTATGACGCCGAGTACATATTACCTACAGTTATGTTCAAAATACAAGCAAGATGCTAGCTGTTACACACTTTCACAAAGATGCACTTTCACACCACAACAATTTGAGTTTTGCCGCCAATTCCTCGAAAGTACACTCTGAGCAAAAAATGCAATAGATGGTCACCCGTATGGCAGATAGCTTTGAAAGTTCCGAGCACGCTTACGCAGTCTAGGTGAATGAACACATCCCTGTGTTATTTTTTACGTGAAGGGACTGTGGTCACCCGTTCATGATCTTTACGATCCCAGTTCGGAAGAAATTAATTCCGAGAAGCTAAACAGGCCGGTGCGTGTCTCCTCCCGAGTGAACAGATTGCTAATGTCAGATACCCACTGACATTTGGTTTTAGATAACTAGGAGGCAGAGTGCTGCTGTTAGCCGAGACTGCTTAAGAAAGCGACTGAACTGGCTTACGAATAAAATCAACAACCAAAAAACTGCTAATAATGGAACCGTCTGGTTTCTTCGAAACAGAGTTGGGGGCCGGTTGTGTCAGTCTTCAAAAAGTGTTGAATGACAATGTATCACCTAGACAAACAAACGAGCGGTGGTAATTTTTGCCGTTGTCAAAATGCTATTTAAACGGTTTCACTGGCATGCCTAGATCGGTGCTTTATTTACCGGTATGCATGCAGCTATTTTTCAGGATTACGGAGGCACTGCCCATTACCCTTAAAATTCCAAAATCAAAGAAATCTCTTTCACGCATAAAACAGCTACGGCTTCGGAATCGCCTCGGCACGGATGGATGGAACGAGTCAGACGGAGGCGCGGACTTAACACGGAGAGCTGGTTTGATACTGAAAATCCTCAGGCAACCGCGGTGGAAGAAATGCGCAAGTGCATTGATGGCGATATGAAATTTACTGAAAGAAATGACGCCAGAAATGCCTTGCTAGTGCATACACTCAAGACCTTTTACAGTCGGAATAACACGGCATATACTTTCAAATAAATTCTATGTATTAAAATTTTTCCGAAAGCCTTCTCAACAGCGGGACCAGTTACCTCATAGAACCACTGGAAGAAGGAGTAGTGTACGGTGACATCAGTCAAATGACAGGTGGGTTCAAGAATGATATCGACGTAGGGATCCGGGTGGTGGGAATGCAATTTCTGAGGAGAGAGTGATCGCAGAATTACGTTGTTTTCCGCGTTTTTACTGCAAAAAATTGCATACCAAGGTGAACAAGACTCTCAAAGGCTGAATCAAATTGTCCTATTTTATGCGCACTTACCGCAGCTTCGTGTGATATACTTGGTTGTCCCAGGGAAAGTAAACGGTAGTAAGACCAAACTGACCTGAAAAGACGAAAATGAGTATATATTAGGTTATCCAAACCGCCTACTCTAGACTATTAAGTAGAAAGGCTAAACAGACTAGCATGTGTTCTGCGGTTAGTGACATACCAACTGACGGACTGCAGTCCGACAGAGAAATTGAAAGCACCGGGGTTGGAAGAGCGGGACCATGAGCGAATTCAGGCAGATAAAACCGGAAGAAGACAGGCAACTGACTTTGACGGCAAGGTGTACTGCTGAGACATTCAGTTGACAGTGTTCGGTTTAAATGAACCGGAGACTTGGAGGGATACCAGTTCGGCAGCGGAAGCGTTCGAGAGACGTCAATGCGTGAGGGTGGAACCACCTCGGATAGAAGGGAAGCCTGGAGAAAAGAAAACAAAAAGCGCTGGATTGGCGATATTTTGACAATAACGTGGCTGCAACAGGGGCGAGGGTTCAGTTGGTGGACGTACTGGGCCATAGTGCGACAGCCGAAGAACCAAGAACAAGTTCTTAAACTGCTGGCCGTCGACAGAAACAGTGAGCAGGTGCCTGGGACGGGCGGGCGACTCACGCGTGCCGGGGACTTTCGTAGAGCGAACAGAACTCGCAGGCAGTCGATGCAACATGCTGCGAGAGACAAAAGCAGACGAAAGAAACCGATTATAGGGAAAAACGGAGAGGAGCTCCTCCTGGAACGTCTTGGAAATGCCTTAAAGTGTAACCAGCAACTATTTGCATCTTCTTAAATATCAGTACTGCTAGTTATGTTCTGTGATCAATGACAATGTAAAGTCGGGAGGGAACATGTTTGCTTGCGTTAAAGAGGACTCTAAAGACAAAGCTTTGCAGAGAGTACTACCAACCAAGGCTCAACAATGATGGTGCGTAATTACTGCATTTTGCCATAGTAGCTCACGTACAAGGAACCACAATAGTTATGCGATGCAGTTTTTTGTGCTACCACATAACTATAAAAACGAACGATCACCCTTTTCACCGAAAATGGTGGGTCAGGTGCCAACATTCAAGGGACGTCTCAACGCCATCTCCACTGATACACAATTTACGATGAAGGAGGGGAAAACAACCAGCTGGTCTTCCCTGATTTATTCGTCTGTCAAAAAGATTGCGGTGATTTAAACAGCAAGGTGTTCAGAAAGCGATAAACACGACGCAAGTAACGAAGTTTAACAGCAACCACCCAATCAGGCACGAACGCAGTCGCGCAAGGGCACTGTAAAGGCGTGTTGAGACGCACTGAAGATAAGGTTGCGGAATTACAATACTGATAGAACCGAACAGGCGAGTACCATGAAGCACCTTCGAGGACGAAGGCGCGATCACAGGAACAAGAAGTTTATTGGCTTGACGTTTCAGAATCTCACTAGAACCCATCATCAGATACAGTCCCAGATCGGGGTAATGGAGGCACAGGGAGTGCAGTTCTTATAACAAGTAGCTGCCTTGGGAACACATGCGTTCGATAATTAATAGCTCTCGCGATCGCCGCTCGGGGTTGTAATTGAAGCGATAATGGCTTGTCAGTCCGCGTCCGAGTCGTTAATGGCTGCCATTTCATTATCCGTGTTGATGTTGGCGTGATGATTACTCGGTAATTTGAGTCGCTGTCAATGGGATTGTTGCTTGCCCCCACACTCCCCAAGCTACTGATTCTCTTGCACCGAATATGGTACAGGGAGGTCATTGTGCTTATTGATGGAATTCGGACTAGGGAGCCATGACTGGAGTAACTGGCGGGTCACGGGGTTGTCACCTCTTGCGAGGACTTTGGCCTCTTGAAGCTTGAAAATATGGCCAGGATCCGCGGAATGGGCTACTAGCTGAGAGCTAGCGTCTTTCCTTCTCATGGCTGCTGCGTGCTTGGCAGTTCGCGTACGGAATAAGCTCCCAATTTCTCCGGTGTAGTTGCTTCGTCCACAATTGCACCAGAGCCGGTAGACGGTAGGAAACGTCTGGAGTAGTTTACCGGATCTGGTACAGTTGCGGGCAGAGCAATTACGTCGGACGCCTATGACCCCCTCTATATTCGTTGCTAAGATTTAGCCTGGGCAGAGTAATTGGCTATGCGGGAAGCGCACAGGCGAACACTGTTCCGCAATACCTGTATCGGTGATTCAGATGGTCACATAGTCGCCACGCCAGCATCTAACACGGGTAGTGCAACTGCGGCGGTTAACGAGACGAATGTCGATCATCAAGAAATTATCCCACCAAAGGGCAAACATCCTCGGTGAATGGAGGAGCGCTAATTTTCATAGGTATGCGGTAGTACAGCGACTGAATCCTATAAATATTGCAACCCTTTGTGCGCCAATCCCCCGCATCCGATGCAATCTCTGAGAAAGGGGTCAAGCATGGATCCGGAACGTTGGGCGGATAAAGCTCTTGTTCGGACGATCCCACCTCCTTATCAACTGCTTACTGGAAATCACACTTCCATTTGTATCGGCGGATTGTCAGTGCCTGTGCGGGTGACCTTCTGCCTCCCGACCTTCTTTTGTTCTTAAATGAAGAGTAATTTCACGTCTGTTGAACGGTCTCCTCTGGATTGCAGTCGCTGATTGCAGCAACTCCATCACCCGCGTTGGCTGTTGGAACGACGAATTTTCGACCATCTGGTTCAATGACAGTAGCTTTGGAGACCGTATTTGCTTGCACACTTTCCGCGTAGCTAATTGCTCTGCCCAGGCTGTCTCGGTACCGAATATGGAGGTAGTTATGCAATGCATCGATTGACGACTCGAACGCCGGCTGTCGAGGGATTACTGCACCAAGGGAGGCCAACCTCGGTTAAGGGACCGGCCGTTTATTTTCATAGGCATGGGGGGGGGGAGCACAGCAACTGCGTCCTATGGATGCTACAACCCTTTGTGCATAGAGTGTCCGTAGCTGCTGCTGCTGCTGCTGCTGTGTCTGACGTAGGGTTTAAGCGTGAATCCAAAACGTCAGGCGAATACAGCTCTTGTTCCAGCGACCAAGCATACTTCTTCTTAACCATTTTGGCTCGTATAGGCGACTGATCATCGCGATAATGACCAATGCTGATTATGAAGGCCCGAGGACTGACGGTTTAGATTTGGCCTGCTAAGCCATTGTCGCTCCATTTGGGACGAGCTGTGGTGAATGCGGGAATTGTTAATTGTAGTAGGTACGTGGTAGCTTAGCAACTATATCCCATAAGTGCCACAAACCCTGTGCGTAATATACTTCAATATCTTTCTGCTCTTGATGATGCATGAATTCGTCCATAATCGATAATAACCATGGCAGTGCCAGGTTTATCACATGGTCCAGCTGCTTACAGAGTTCTGGTTTCCTCCTCCGTATTGCAGCGACGACTTCGATGCACTATCGAAAGGACGTATGCCGCCTCTAAATTGTTGTTCATAAGCACCACAACCGCCATCCCAGTTAGACCAGCTAAAGACATTTTGCCTATGCACGCCACATCAAAGTGTATTTATGAGTTTACATGTAGTTGCGGATGCAAGTACATCGGGCGCACGCAAAGGCAATTGGCAGCTCGGTCAGCTGAACACATGCCGAAGTGGCTGCTTAAGGCGGAAAATAAGGTACCCAGGAGCTCAATCACAAAGCACCTATTGGACACGGGCCATACGGTGGACCAAATGGTTGCATTCAAGGTTCTGTTTCGGACGACGACCGGGCGTCTCTTGTGATGCATGAATTCGCAACGCCAGGCTAGTGAAATTCTCGCGCCCCCTGATTAAATAATGTCTTAATACATATATACAGTAGAAAATGAGTTTAATCGATAAGAACACTCTTCAGGCACTAAATGCGCATTATAGGCCGAAATAGTAGAAAATATAATCTTTGTAAGTGCTGAACAGGGCATTTGGTCACATGTCTCAAATTCACTAAGACAATCTCCAAATCGGAGTTACAATGCACTTACCATGGCGTGGTGGACGAGTTGCCGTCATTCTCACACACAAAAACGTCCTCGATTTCTAACTGCAACAGACAAAACACTAAGGTCGATTACAAGTTGGAGTGCATGCGTG